ATAGTTTATTTTCGAGTTTTCTTTCTTAGTTAGTTTAACCTTTTATATTTTAAGTACGTTTTTTTGGTTTTTCGTGTCAGGGATGTTAACTGAAATTTTGATCTCGCTTCCGCATTCGATATATTTAAATACTCATTTCTTTTTTAATATAGTCTTCTAAGAAAAAAAAAAAACTATTGAATGTGAAATTACATATATATATATATATATATGTATATGTGTATGTATGAGTCAGGTCGACTATTACATTGTACACGTGGCTTGAAAAATATGAATTATTGGTCAACCTAACAACAACCCATTTCCTTCAATATTCTCAATCTCTGCGTTTAGAGGCTACACGTTACCCGTTTTGGTCGAAACAAGTCAATCCCCACCATGTTCTTTGACCGCTCCAGTCCAAACGAAATCAATTCTTCATTAATTACACATATACATACACACATACATACATACATATATATATATATATATATCATCCTTCCTGTTGCAACCCAAAATCTTAGTCCAATTGGGGTCCACATATATATATATATTATAAAATATATAATTTAATTGTTTTAAGAGAAATAAAGTTTCTCCTCAACAAGATTGATCTGAGTATTACCAAATTATCCCGCAAATGCAAATCCCTTGTATACTTATATCAAATAATATGTCTATAAATACTTATGTTTTTAATTTAAAAATATTTTTTTATACACAAACAAAAAATTATTTCTCAAAAAGCATATTATAATATACATTATTTTTATATTTTATAAATTTAAATAATTAGAATAATTGATACTCTTATTTATTTATATTTTTTATTAAATATAAAAAATTTAATATTTTTTTGTAATAATTATTTTTTATATTTAATAATTATATCGTAATAAAATTTTTATTTTAAAATAAATTTATACAAATTAATTAAATTATATATAAATACTAATTACAAGATAATATAAATAAATTCTAGAAAAAAGATACTTACATCAGTACAGTACAGATACATTCAAATTCATGATATTTTATAAAGAAAGAACACTATATTATAATAAAATTTTTATTTTTAAATAAATATATACAAATCAATTAAATAATATACAAAAATTAATTATAAGACAACATAAGTAAATTTTAAAAAATAATATATACATTAGTACAGTCAAATTCAAACTCACGATATGTTATAAAAAAAGAATACTATATCTTAATAAGACATTTATTTTATTTTTATTTTTAAATAAATGTATACAAAACAATTAAATGATATACAAACACTAATTATAAAATAATATAAGTAATTTTTTTTTAAAATAATACACACGTTAATACAATCATATTCAAACTTACGATATCTTATAAATAAATAAATATATCGACTATTTAGTCAAATAATTATCGGTATTTTTATTAAATAAAAATTTTAATGCAATTAATTATTGTCTCTTTTTTTCTTCTTTGATTTTTTTTTTTTAAATTTAATTGAAAATTACCCAACCTTACTTGGATTGAATCCCAATATTTGACTATTGAGATTTTAGTTTTGTTCAATTAAAGACATGCTATCTACTTTAATTTATCAAAAATAATTTTTTTTAAAAAAAATAAAAAGGTCTTGTCATATTATTTCAATAGAAGTTAATCCTTATTTTATTCAATAATTTACATTTTTAAAAATATATTTAATTAATTATTTAATATATGAAATATATAATTTTAAATTCAGAATAAATTATTTAAATTTATTACATATATACTAATAATGTTATGATAGTAATAATATAACACTAAAATAAAATTTGTAAATTTTGACTATTTTGTTTATTGATTATGAAATAATTAAAACTATTTTTTGTCAGCATATGAGAATTGAGAGTTACAGCTTACAAGACCCGCCAACTACCCAGCCACTTCTTCTCGCACACTTGTGCGGTCAAGCACGTCTCCTTGATTCTGAGGAACAAATCTCAACATCTAATCCATAACTCATCCCTCAACGTTTATTTTTTTAGTGTTATGTATATATATATGTATGTCTTACTTTTCTTCATTAAGCTATGATTAGTTGTCTTTGGAAATACAAAATAGATTGATGTAGAAAAATATGCCCTTAAATTAATCATCTGTTCGTGACTAATCTCCGTCTGAGACAGACTTTAATGCAGTGTCAAGATTAAAAAAACTGTGTGCTAATCTGATAGAAAAGCAGTCCAATCTTGAGACAGAAAAGATGAGTTTAGCTTAGCTTAGAAGGATGCTTTTCATTTTAGTCAGAGAAGCTGATGATGATATAAAACAAATCACTTTTAATTTAAATTTGCAGATTCTGCAAGTTGTTCTTACAGTAATTCTTACAAGTTTACTGCTTGCTTAATTTAATGTTGGATCAGTATTTTTGACTTTGATCACACTGTTGTAATTGTGTTTTGCTTTATTCTGCTCTTTAAATGGTATTTAATATTTTGTCAAAAGATGGAGATAGAGAGAGAATATTGGGAAGAATTTAGATTTTAGTATTTCATTTGAGCCTCATTATCATCATCATCGGCCACCTTTTTCTTTGTCTGTTTCACAATTGAGCTGCACAGGTGGCTAAAACTCTTCTTTCAGTGTCCAATCCCCGCGCTTCTCTTTCTCTCTCCGCCATTTTTGGTCTTCGTTTCTGCTAAAAAACGTGGAGAGTAAGTTTACTAACTCCGTTGATTGGGTCGTCTTCTTGGTGCTTTTTTCTTTATGGGTTCTCTGTGTATGTCTTTCAGATGCTTGCTTTTTGGTATTTCCTCCTTTTTTTTTTGTTTTTGCTCTTCCTAGTATGATTTTCTCTTGTTTTTCTTTAACTATACTCTTTAGAGACTATGGTTTTTGGCTTGTGGCTGTATTTGTTGCTTAATTTCATCTAGGTTTCTTTCTCTTTCCGCCCTTGAGGGTGCCTTTTTTCTTGTCTCCCTTCCTGTTCTTGTTTTCAACTCTTATGGGGAGAATGTTTTCATCTGTATTGGCTAAGTTACTGAACCTCATTTTTTGTGGTTTACCCTACTTGTCTCAAATTTCTACTCGTAACT